CTCGTCCCTTCGGGGCGATCCGCCCCGGGCACCTGGGCGCGACAGCCGTGGTACTTGGTGCGTATGGGGCCTTGGCATCGACAGGTGCACCGCCTCGACGTCCCCGGCCGTCGCCCGAGGGCGGTCTGCGGCCGCACCATTGAGCCGGAGAGGGCGGCTGTTCTTGTTTGGGCCCCGCCTCGGGCAGAGCCCGGAGGAAATCGGTACCTCTGGTGCCGCCTATGCTGGGGCGACGGCGTCCCGCTCTCAAGGAGCGATTGTGAGCAGCACCCGGACGAAGAGTCCGAGCTCGAATGACCCCGCCACGGAGCGGCGGGCGCCCACGTCGGGCGTTGAAAAGTCGAGGCCGGACCGCAGTGCACTCTGCTAGGGATCGTCGACTCCTGCTTGTGATTCCCCCCCCCCCCCCTAGCCTCCTTTGTTGCCTCAAGCCCGCTGCCCCCCGCCTCGCCAATCATGGCGTCACCTTCGGCGTCTTCGGCTTTGGTTGACTTCGGCCAGCTCGCCACACCGAGGCGGGGGCGGGCGACTTCCTCCGCCGCTACCTGGCGGCCCGTGGTGCAGATCGCACGGCCACCTTGGCACTTATGGCGCCCACGGCGGAGCGCTTCGCCGAGATCATCATCGACCCGCTTGGGCCCGGCTTCGTCGCGACCGGGGGGGATGAGTTCAAGCTGACCCCGGCAGAGCTGCCCACCGCCAGGGCAGTCCTCACCCACATGTGGGAAGAGCTGGCTCCGGCTCCGGCGGCGGGCGGCCCGCTCCCGTTCCCGCCGACGGCGCCGGCTGGGCCGCCTAAGCAGAGTGGGGCACCCTGGTTAAGGCCTACAACGACCGCCTCGTGGACGGGCGACCGAGGGCCTTTCCTACCCGCCGCCTGGCTGGGGCGGAGGAGGTGCTCGCCAGGATCCACTGGGAGCACACCGTCAGCTTTGCATACTCGCCGTTGGGGTTGGGCGAGATCCTATCTCAGAGGACGTGGACCGCCGCCAACGAGCTGAACCCCCTCGCCGCCGGGCGCCGCGATTCGGCTGCTTCCGCCGCCCTCCACCTCGTGGGCGGCAGCCTGGTGGCCGAAGAGAAGCGCCCGTGGCAGCCCAAGTCCGTCATCGCCATTTGCGACGGGCTAGAGGCCGTCAAGTGGGCCTGGATACTCGTCCAACTGGGCGCCGAAGAGGACACCGTGAGGCTCCGATAGTGTACTTTGCGCAACGCCGGAGCAGCGTACATCATTATGATGTATTTTGTTTCCACTGATGTTTTATAGTTCCAACATCTCCAACACGGAGATTTGACTATATCTATGCGTTTGAGTCGGGACGAAAAAACAGAAAGAACCCCATAAAACCCCACTTTCGGCTCAAACTTGTCATTATAACCAGCGCCTCGAGAGAGAAAAAAGAAGAAGACTATATATATATATACACATGCATACATACAGCATAGATATATATATATATATGTAGATATTATACACATGCACACTCTCGTACACACTCTCAGTTTTCGCTCGCTTGAACTTGCAAGCCTCCCAACATCACAGCCCTCATGTCCTTTTTGCAAGATTTCAGACGATCGAGTCGAAGCACTGCTGGCGGCTCTGCTGTCCGAGAGCAGAAATCTTCCATGGCAGGTTCGAGAGCATGCTGCGACAGACCTTCTCGAAGCGACAATTTCAATTCTCATGTTGTAGCGCTTGCATCTTGAGGGATGCGACGGAGCGAACAATAGAGTTTTCTTGAAGCAGAGCTCTGAATGCATGCCATGAGCTCCCTTTCGCGGAAGAAGCATGGATCAGCAGTCAGCAGTTCGAGGCGGGCTCCCGCGGTCTCGCTAGAACATTTGCCTGCAGACTTGGTGAACCGGCAGGCCCATGATGATTTGATGCACGTGCAGCTGTTCATGAACATCGCTTGGGAGGCTCACGGAACTGCACAGTTGCACGAAGGGTGTTTGTGTGAGAGAAGCGTCAAGACCTGCAGTGCCCCATGCCGCAGACGGCACGGCCCGAAGAGTGAAAGACGGACATGGCACGCAGGCTCACTCCAGGGTCAGGCAGGCTCATGGCACTCGCGAGGGTCAGCTTCACAAAGCTCTCTCGGGGCGTTAGGCTGCACTGCATGGGCAATCATAGGCACAGCACAGCACTAGCTCCAAGTGCAGGGCCCTAGGGTCATGGCCGATGCTGCTGCGGCCATGGCACTCGTCCCAGCTGACGCCGCGGCCGACGCCGCGGCACCGCCTGAATGGCGGTCGGTCCGCGACTTCGCTGCAATGATTTGTGGAGCATGCACCTCTTCTGTGCACCGATCTTTGCATGGGCTTCATGCGTGGTAGTTATAGTCATGCGACGTGCAGGCGCTGGCAAAGTGAAGTGGACCTACGAGAAGGTGCAGGGCATTGCAGCGGCCATGGAGCAGCACCTGCCTGTGGCAGTCAAGGACTTGATAGAAGGCCCCAATTGGAGGGGCGGTGCCATCGTCCGACTGGAGTCGGACACTGCGCGACCGACGGCGCGTGAGGTGTCCCGCCACTACTTCCTCCTGAAGCCTTGGGTTCAAGCCCTTCCAACCACGGTGCCGAGCGCTTATATGGTTACCGACACCCTGCTTCTGCTGAACGAGTTGCTCGGGAAGAAGCTCTTCCCCGTCCAGCCGAATGAGTCGTTGATCAACAAGGCGGCCGCGGAGGCCGTGAAGATCAAGAAGCTCCTTCAATCTTTGAGGTACCTTTTTCGATCGAGCGGCTCAATTGCAGATCGGTTCCATTTGGCAATTAGCAAAAGCACCGGATCCCAGGTAAGAACAGCCGCTTCACGAGAATCGCGGATTTGAAGCACGACCTTCGCCCGAAGGATCCGAAGTCGCCTGTTGTCCTTTGAGAGGGTTTGGCATGCATTGCTTTCTAGTTTGCCCTGCTTTTCGCTTGGAGGAGAGGACACCTGCGAAGACGGAGACGGAGAAGAAGGAAGCGGAGAAGGCGATCGAGGACGACTACCTCGCCTCGATTGCCACGGAGGCCGCTCCGATTGAGGATGGTGCTGTTGCTGGGCTTCGCTAGTGTAATGTTGCACGATCTGAGGATGAGCCCCTGCTTTCGCAAGCGTCGACACGACAGCTGGGAGATCGGTCGGAAGACGATGAGGACAGGTTGGAAATACGTTCATTTTTTCTCCCATCATGCAACCCTATGACTTGCAGGATTTCTCCGACCGGGACTCCATGTCGCTGCTCGCGGAGCTTAGCTCCGAGGAGGAGTGGAGCGACAACGATATGGACATGAAGCTCGATGAACTTGCGTGCGGGCTGCTCTTTCCGCTCGAGTGCCTCGATCCAGAGGCAACGGTGTCGTATTGTGGGGCGTCGGACATACCGACGCCGCCATCTTCGCCGAAGAGCGAGGACGAGGACGAGGCATTGTGATAGTGCATGTTGGAGTGAGCGAGTGTGCATTGCATGCATGAGGATGACACGAAGATGATTGCCAGTGGCAAGAGGCTGCCAAAGGACTGCCTCTATAAGATTGCAACCTGACATGTGTTCGTGTGATGTGCATGCATTATAGGATCCGACGGAATCCTGGTTGTGTCGGCCCCGTCCAAATGTGGATCTAGATGAACCTATCTTCGAACCGTGGCCGGTGGTTATCGATGATGATGATGACGGTGTCAAGGATTGAACGTGCAGCGACATGTCTTGTGATGCTTGGATTTTAATTATGGCACCTGTCTCTTAAAGGAGCCGGAGCCTCCAAGCGTGCCGACATCATCTGCGGAGCAGGACGTTAATGTGTGCATGTTGCAGTCATGATCAACAAGTGTTTGCATGTTCCAGGATGAAGAAACCGACCTCGAAAAGGCCGAGAAGATCATGGATGCCGTGAGCTCGAGCTCCGAGAAGCCCGAGGATTTCGTGATGATCATGATTCATTCAAACAATTACTTTGTAGTCCCGTCATGTTGCAGGAGTCAAAGTGTGACCGGACGATGGGCAAGAGGAACAAGAAGCTTTCCCGAAAGAAGGCCAAATTGATTTAGAGGTTCCATAGTTGTTTCATTGCATCTTGTTGCGGGTGTACAAGGGCCAGCCGAAGATGATCGGCCCATCCGTGGCAGAGGACGCAGTAACTATGGTTCACGCAGAAGAGTTGCTTCTCGTTACGTGTTTTGGCAGGACAGCGACATCGACGTGCCGAAGGGCCCGGATTCGGCATCGGAGAAGGACGAGTGTAAGGTTGAGACGAAGAGTTATTCATAGTTGTGGGTTTTTGCAGGATGCGCAAAGCGACTCCGACATCCACAGCGATGTTGAGGGCCCCGGGACATCGTCCAAGGAGGAGGAGTGTAAAGTTCATGCACACGCAAGATTTTTTGTGGGTGCCTTGAATACTTTCGCAGGATCCGGGAAGCGACAGCAACGTGGAGTCGAAGAAGCTGGGCCGCCGCGGCCCACGTCTGAAGGACGAGTATTGAGTAAATCTCATTGGGAAAAGCTGTGCGCTATTGCGTGTTTGGCAGGATTTCGCAACTGACACCGACTGGGCCCGGGCATTTGTGGAGTCACAGAACTCACGATCGGAGAAGGACGGGTGTGGTTTATAATCTACATATAGAGTTGTTTGTATGTACGTGTTTGTCAGGATGGACCAAGCGACAGCGACATGGAGCCGAAGGGGCCGCTGGGTTCGGCATCCGAGAAGGACGGATATGAATCAGCTAGTATTATTTCTAATTGTGTGTTCTGGCAGGAAGGACGAAGCGCCAGCGATATCGAGCCGAAGGGGCCACTGGACTCGGCATCGGAGGAGGACGGATATGAATCAGCTAGTGTGACTTCTATTTGTGTGTTCTTGCAGGATGGACCAAGCGCCAGCGACATCGAGCAGAAGGGGCCACTGGACTCGGCATCGGAGAAGGACGGTTATGATACAGCTATATAGTATTATTTCTATTTTGTGTATTCTTGCAGGATGGACGAAGCAGCAGCGACATCGAGCAGAAGGGGCCACTGGACTCGGCATCGGAGAAGGACGGTTATGATACAGCTATATAGTATTGTTTCTATTTTGTGTATTCTTGCAGGATGGACGAAGCAACAGCGACATCGAGCCGAACGGGCCACTGGAGACGGCATCGAAGAAGGACGGATATGATTCAGCTATATAGTGTTATTTCTAATGTTCTTGTAGGATGGACGAAGCAAAAGCAACATCGAGCCGAAGAAGAAGTGCCCACGGCGGGAGAAGGACGGATGTGAATCAGCTCTATAGTGGTATTTCTAGTCGTATGTTTTTTGCAGGATGGACCAAGCAAGAGCGACATCGAGCAGAAGAGGAAGGGCCCACGACGGGAGAAGGACGGATGTGAATCAGCTCTATAGTGGTATTTCTAGTTGTATGTTTTTTGCAGGATGGACCAGGCAAGAGCGACATCGAGCAGAAGAAGAAGGGCCCACTGGACTCGCCATCGGACCAGGATTCGTATGCTTTTTCCATGTTGCTAACCTATAAACTCCATCCCGTCCCGCCAGGATCTGCCAAGCGACTTCGACAGCCCCACGAATCCCGAGTGGCTCCCCGAGACTATGATGGACGCAGAGGCAGCTAATCTATCAGTGTCGTTGAGGTTTTGGAACATGTCCTTCAATTGATTTGATCGAAGGGCAGCGAGGATGATCCCATGGCAGAGCCGTTCATGTCCAGCAGCGATGAGGAGTCTCAGGGCAGTTGCATAAAAGATAGTATTGAGAAACCCGTTGCATGGATTCCTACTACATTAGTCTATTCATTCGCGACTGGGGCAGGACCCTGCCCGGAACAACAAGAAGCGGCCAAACCTCATGATGGTGAAGGCGGAGGAGCACAGCGAGGACGACGAGGCATGCAGCACGCCCACGTCGATTGCGGAGCTCATGGGATTGAACAAAGATATGATGCATGCTGATGTCGAGCCAGTTGGAGAGCAGGGATATCGAAGCATGCAGGCCCGCAAGGCGGCCGCGAAGGCCGAGGCCGCGAAGCCCGTGAAGGCCAAGGCGAAGGTGCTCAGAAAGAAGGGCAGCTTCAGACGCGTGCTCAAGCGTCGCAAGAAGAAAGCCGCCAAGAAGGCGGCCGAGGAGCCCACGGACCGTACCGATGTCATGTTTCAGAAGTACAACCTCAAGGACCTGGCCGTGCCCAAAGACGCCTTCCCACAGGGAC